AAAAATGAAATCTGGCGCCAAGACGTCTTCGACTCGACTTTGTCGAGCCAATCAGACGCCTTGGCGCCAACCCCCGTCCTTGATCCACATCCTGGATCAAGGAAAAATCTAGAACATATCAAAAAATTAATAAATACCCAATTTCAACAGCTCACCACCACCAGTTGTCGAGAGTCGTTGCTTGAAGCATCTTCACGCGAAAAGAGTTTTGCTGAGAGGAAAATCTGTTGTCTAAATTTCGAACTTTGTCTTGTGTTTTTTGGGACTTGTAGAAATTCGAAAATATATTAAACCTTTTCTTTTGGAATCTGACCGGAGATTCCCTGCCTTGTCCCGGGCGGATTCCGCATTTTTATTCCTCTCAAAAACCTCACCTAAATCTTTATTTCTTCTAATTTAAATTTGTGTTGAGATCTTTTAGAATCCTCAACAGAGTCTTTGATTTTCACAGATTGAGTGTTTTCGAACAATACGAAGTGTTTTGAATGAAGGCAGTTTTTCAAAATTCAATTAAACACGCTTCAAAATCATTCTCAGTTCATCTGCTCATGATGGGAGATTGAACATTGAAACGTTTGAGGACGTTGGATTTATATTTATTTCATGAATGCCTTGATTTTAGAAATTGCTGAGCATCCGTAGCATTTTGTTTGCAGATAAACCGTAATTTACTCTCAAAGGACGTTAACCATAAAGTATTTTTATAATTCTATAGACGGCATCTTTCATTTGAGTCAATCGCCGAGGATACAAAAAATGAATTGCTTAAGATGGCCCAAAATGAAAAAAAAAATTGAATAAAATGCGAAATCTCAAGACATTTAAAAAAAGCCTCCCTATATCCTTTTTTTTATCTCGCACAGAAGAAAAGAAGGTCTCGAACTTGTCAAAAAAGAATGTAAAGTCGCACACATACGCAAGCGTTAAAAAAAATCAAAACACAGTCCGACACTCACCGTCTTCGTCAGTCGAACACGTCAAGGGTTCGGCTTTGACACCCACTCCTGCCCTCGTCACAGCTGCCAGCGTCACTGAGTAATTCGAGAACTTCCGCAGACCCAAAAGCACGCCAGCCTCTCTCGGGAATTCCACAGTCTCTTCTTCCGGTGCAACAGGGAACAGGACACAAACACAAACGATGAGAAAATAAGGAACCACAACGCAAAGCAGCGATGAGGAAAACATCAGGGGAAGTTGGCATACGAATATGTCGAAATCGACAGCCTTCTGTTGACACGAGGTTTTTCCGAGACCATATTTGTGAAGCTCCATTCTTTTGACATTTGCAAGCTTCTACTCAGCAAAAAAATTTCGTGACATGCCAGCGGCCTTCATTTATTTTTATTTTTGCCTTCGCATTATATTTCTGACTTTGCATCAAATTTAGGTGGAAATACACGTTGAGAATCAATCTTCTTCTCTGTTAACAGCGGGAATCCGCAGTCATAAGAAAAACACACAGAACAAGTACCAAATGAGATTTTCTGACACGGTACAGAAATGTGCATTTTTAAAGGGAAATAATACGAAGACGCAAAATCAGGCAAGTGAGTAATCATTTTTTTTTGTCCTCGCAAAATCCGTTTGAATTTTCAATTAGTTGAACCCGTTCAAGTCGTATTTCAAGGGCGAAACAATTCTAGTTAGTGATCTTTCAAGTTCGGAAAAGGAGCCTTTTTTGGTTTGGGGAAAGAAAGAAATAATACTGGACAGCCAGTAAAATTCTGTATTTTAATCATCTTTTTAAATTAGTAGATGGGATTCTTTACTTGAAGGCGAGGGGGGATTTAGTTTCAAAGCGCATCAAGTAAAATTTAATTTATAGCATTTCTCTTTCCTGTGTCAATAAAATAATAGCCAGGATGAGACCTCCTGAAAATTCGACTCATCGAGGTTTGAAAGACGAAGCCTTTATTTGAGTTATGTGGAATCTTTTAATGCATTTTTTCCGAGTAAATTCAGACAGGTGGTTGGAAAAAGTTTGACATTGAAAGGCATTCGACTTGGAGAAATTCGCTTTATCGCGATTCAACCATCATTGAAAACTTTCAAAGATAATCCGCATGATGATTTCATG